TCCAACCCCTGTCCAACCCCTGTCCAACCCCTGTCCAACCCCTGTCCAACCCCTGTCCATCACCTGTCCAACCCCTGTCCATCACCTGTCCAACCCCTGTCCAACCCCTGTCCAACCCCTGTCCATCACCTGTCCACCCCTGTCCCCCGCAGGCGCCTGTCACACGTGTCAGGCCATCGCTCCTATTACCTGTGCGGGGCTGGGGCCCTGCTGCAGCACGCCCTCGTCACCTTCACCCTGAGGAAACTGCTCAGCAAGGTGGGGCTGGCCTGGGGGGTCCGGGGGGCTCCAGGGAGGATCTGGGGGGATCCAGGGAGGCTCTGGGGGGATCCAGGAGGGTCTGGGATGATCTGGGGGCTCCAGGGAGGCTCTGGGATGATCTGGGGGGATCCAGGGATGGTCTGAGATGATCTGGGGGGATCCAGGCATGGTCTGGGATGATCCGGGGGGATCCAAGGGGTCTCTGGGATGATCTGGGGGAATCCAGGGTGTCTGGGATGGTCTGGGTGGACCCAGGGAGGCTCTGGGGGGATCCAGGGAAGCTCTAGGATGCTCTGGGGGGCTCCAGAAATGGTCTGGGGGGATCCAGGGATGATCTGGGGGGCTCCAGAGAGGCTCTGGGGGGCTCCAGGGAGGCTCTGGGATGATTTGGGGGGATCCAGGAAGGCTCTGGGATGATCTGAGAGGCTCCAGGGATGATCTGGGGGTATCCAGGAAGGCTCTGTGATGATCTGGGGGGCTCCAGGGATGGTCTGGGGGTCTCCAGGGAGGCTCTGTGATGATCTGGGGGGCTCCAGGGAGTCTGGGATGGTCTGGGGGGCTCCAGGAATGATCTGGGGGTATCCAGGAAGGCTCTGTGATGATCTGGGGGGCTCCAGGGATGGTCTGGGGGTCTCCAGGGAGGCTCGGGGGGCTCCCAGGAGGGTGGGGGTCTCCAGCCCTCCCGTTTCCCCAGGGTTTCCTGCCCATGACGGTGCCGGACCTGCTGCGAGGAGCCGTTTTTGTGAGTGAGCCCTGAGCCCCCCCAGACCTTCCCGGCCCCTGGGTGATCCCAAGTGACCCCCTGTGCCCCCCAGGAGGGCTGTGGGGTCCAGCCCAGCGCTACCCCCTCCCCAGTTTACACCATTGACCCTGCACGCTTCGAGGATCTGTGCCTGGCTGGGACCTCGGAAGTGGGAATTGCAGGTGGGAATTGGGGCAAAACGTGGGGAAATTGGGAAAAGCCGGGGGGGGGAATGGAGCAGGGGAGGGGGAGGATTGGGGAGAACCAAGGGAAAACATGTAAAAATTCCTTGGAAATTATTTTTTATGATTTTTTTATGATTTTTTAATGATTTTTATTACTTTATTTTTATTTTTATTATTTCTATTTTTATGATTTTATTACTATTTAGTATTTTATTATTTATGTATTTTTTTTTTATTATTTTTATTATTCCCTGGAAATAATTTTTTAAAATTTTAATTATATTTAAATTATCATTAATTTAATTATATTTAATTTAATTTAAATTATATTCTAAAAAAAAATTTCCCTGGAAAACCAGGGAAGAACATGAGGAAAATAGGAAAAAATAGGGGGAAAAGGGGAAAAAGAAATAATAGGGAGAGAACAGGAAAAAAATGGGGAAAAAAGGAGAGAAGAAGCAGGGAGGAAAAATGGGGAAAATCATCGGGAGAATGAACCAATAGGGAAAAAAGGAGGAGGAAAAGCAGGAAAACCATGGGAAAACAGGAAAAAAAAATGGGGGAAAGGGGAGAAAACAGGGAATAAGTGGAGAAAGAGGGGAGCGGATGGATTTGGGGGTCACCCTGTGCCCTCCCATCCAGGCTATTTCATGGACCACGCCGTGCAGCTGCAGGACCTTCCTGTCAGGTACGGGGGTCTTGTGTCCCCCCCAGAGACCCCCTCCCCTTCTGGGGACCCCACCCCGATTCTCTGGGGGGGTCTGGGGTGTTTCGGGGCCCCCACTTAGCCGTGTCCCCCCACCAGGGTCGCGTGTTCCAGCACCTGCTACCGTGCCGAGACCGACACGGGCCAGGAGCCCTGGGGGCTCTACCGCGTCCACCAGTTCACCAAGGTACTGGGAGCACTGGGAGACCCCTGGGGAGACTCCTGGGGGGGTGGGAAAGGCAGGGGGTGACCCCGTGTCCCCCCACCCCGCAAGGTGGAGATGTTCGGGGTGACGGCGGCCGAGCGCGGGACGGAGAGCGAGGAGCTGCTGGAGGAGTTCCTGGCGCTCCAGAAGGAGATTTTCTCAGAGCTGGGGCTCCATTACCGGTGAGGGGGGGTTTTGGGGGAGTCCCCCCCAGTCCGTGGGACCCCGAAATCCATCGTAACTGTTCCCCCCCCACCCCGGGCCCCCCAGCGTCCTGGACATGCCCACGGAGGAGTTGGGGCTCCCCGCCTACCGCAAGTTTGACATCGAGGCCTGGATGCCTGGACGGGGCAAATTCGGGGAGGTGAGGGGGAGTCTGGGACCCCAACAATTCAGGGAGAGCCCAAATAACGTGGGGAGCACCCTGAAAATTCGGGGAGAGCCCAAATAATTTGGGGAGAACTTAATTCTGGGAAAACTTTAAAAATTCAGAGGTGCCCAGGGTGACTCCCCCCCTTTATTCCCTGTTTATGGCTCCCCTTTCTTCCTGCCCTTGCTGCTGGATCAGGACCCCCATTTTGGGGTGTCCCTGGAGTGGTGGAGAGGGGAGGGGGTACCCGAAACCTCCTGACCCCTCTCCCCCCACCCCCCCCAAGATTTCCAGTGCTTCCAACTGCACGGATTACCAGAGCCGGCGGCTGAACATCATGTACAGCGGGGAGGGGGGCCGGCTGAGCCACGCCCACACGGTGGGTGACCCCCCAAAATCCACGGGACACCTCCAAAACCCCGGGAGGGGGGGGTCCCTGAGCCCCCCCTGACCCCGTGTGCCCCCCTCAGGTGAACGGCACCGCCTGTGCCGTGTCCCGGATGCTCATCGCGCTCCTCGAGTGCAACCAGCTCCCGGTGAGTGTTTTGGGGGGGGGGTCCCGCGGGAGTCGGGGGGGCTCGGGGAGGCTCACCCCGCGCTGTGTCACCCCCCCAGGACGGCCGTGTCCGGGTGCCCCCTGTGCTGCAGCCCCTGGTGGGGCAGGAGGTGCTGGCCCGGCCCCCCGCCCCCCTCCTGCGCTACATCGGCCCCAACCAGCCCGGGGGGGGCCCCCCCAAAACAGAGGGGGGGTCCTGAGGTGGGGAGGGGTCCCCGTGGAGGAGGCAGAGCATGGCTGGAGCTGGGACATCGAGGGATGGACATGACACGCGGGACAGGGGACACCGAGAACCCTGTCCCGTGTGTCCCCGGGGTGACAAATCCCGACAATAAAACCTGGAAATCCTCCCCTGCCACGCGTGTCCTTTGCTCCGTGGGTGCTCTGGGGACACTCGGGTGTCCCCCAGTGCCACACGTGTCCCCCCCCCGCTCCCAAATGTCCCCCCTCCCCGCCTGTCCCCTCCGTTGTCACGTTGTCATTGTCCTTGCTCCGAGCGCAGCCTCCGCTTTATTTCCCACCGCCCCCCACAGCCCTTGGGGCTCCCCCGGGATTTTGGGGGGCGCATCTTCAGGGGGTCCCCGTGGCTGGGGGTGGCAGGGTCCTCCAAATCCATCCGGGGGGGTCCCAAGGGGTCCCTCAGGCTGGGCAGTGCCCGCTGTTGATGACGATGTCGTCGTACTCTTCCTGGGGAAGAAGTTTGTGGGGGCTGGAAAAGTTGGAGGTGGGGGGAGCTTGGAAGGGTTTGGGGTCCCCCCGGTGCTGCTGGGCTGTCCCGGGGGGCGGGGGGACACTGGGGACGGGGCTGTGCGGTCCCCGACTGACCTCGCTGTCCTCGGCTGCGCCCTCGCTGTCGCTGCTGTCGCTGCTGTCGCTGCTGGGGGGGTCGCGGGCCCCGAAGCGGCACAGGAGGGGCGGCAGGCGGGGGTCGGGGCGGCGCCGGGCGCTGTACAGGGGGGTGAACCCCGAGAACGTGCGGGGGTCCGGCCGCGCCCCGCCCCGCAGGAGACACTCGGCCACCTCGGGGCTCTGAGCCTCCACGGCCAAGTGCAGGGGGCTGCGGCCGCAGCTCGGCTCCTGGGGGGGGCACGGCGGGGGTCAGGGGGCGGCGGGGCCCCCCCCCAGCCCCGCTTTTGGGTTCTTTTGGGGGCACCCACCGGCCGGTCGGGGTCAGCGCCGGCGCGGAGCAGGAGCTGCACCAGCTCCAGGTCCCGGCGCAGGACGGCCACGTGCAGGGGGGTGTAACCTGTGGGGGGGGAAATGGGGTCCGGGGATCCCCAAAACCCTGCCTGAGCACGTGGGACCCCCTCCCAATGCCTGCGACCTCCCCCCAAAACTAATTCTGGGAAAACTCTAAATTTAATTTAATAAATCTAATTTAAATTCAGAGGTGCCCAGGGTGACCCACCCCCCCCCTTTATTCCCTGTTTATGGCTCCCCTTTCTTCCTGCCCTTGCTGCTGGATCAGGACCCACATTTTGGGGTGTCCCTGGAGGGGGGGGGGGGTACCCAAAACCTCCTGACCCCTCTCACCCCACCAAACCCGTTCCATACCCCCGAACTGCGTCCACCCCAAAACCCTGGCACCATCCCCAAATCCCTGTCCCCCACCCGAAAAACTGAGCGACCCCTCTAAAAACCCCGATGAACCCAAATCCGCGCGATCCCCCAAAAACATCCCCCCAACCCACGGTTCCCTCCCCGCACCATCGTAGTTGACGCTCTCCAGCTGCGCCCGCCGCTCCTCCTCCTCCTTGCGGGGATCCCGGGGGGGCTCGGGGGGCTCCTCCCGGGGCTCGGGGGGCTCCCCGAGCAGGGCGCGGGCGCAGGCGGGGTGCCCCTCTCGGCAGGCGAGGTGCAGCGGGGTGTGCCCGCCCCGCTCCCGCACCGCCAGCCCCGCGCCCGCCGCCCGCAGCCGCCGCACGGCCCCGGCCAGCCCCAGCACCACGGCGATGTGCAGAGCGCTCTGCGGGGAGAAACCACCCCAAAACCGCTGTTAAAGCACCCCAAAACCCTCAGCCCCGGCCAGCCCCAGCACCACGGCGATGTGCAGAGCGCTCTGCGGGGAGAAACCACCCCAAAACCGCTGTTAAAGCACCCCAAAACCCTCAGCCCCGGCCCGATGTGCGGTGCGCTCGGGGGGTGCGAGGTGCGGCACGATTGGGAGGGTCAAACCCTCACCCAAAATTCCCCCAGAGACTCGCCCCTTCCTCCTGCAGCTCCACCTCGCTGTAACCCCAAATTTCCATCCCTTCCCCAGCTCCTCACCCACCCCCACCCGACGCTGTGGAGATTTGGGGTGGTCCCAGGACCCCCCAAACCCCCCCGGGACCCCCAAATTCCCCGTCCCGCACCTGCCCCAGGTGGTTCTGCAGGTCCAGGTAGGGCGAGTGCCGCGTGTGCCGCAGGATGGACTCCAGGAACTGCTCGTGCTCGTGGATCACGGCCAGGTGCAGAGCCCTGCGGGTGGGCACGGGCTGGGCGGGGCTGTCCCGACACCCCCACACCCACCGGGGGGTCCCCAGGAGAGTGGGGGGGGGGGGTTCCGGGCGGTTTTTGGGGGTTACCGAGGGATCCCCGCGGGGTCCGGCGCTCCCGGGAGGGTCGCACCGGAGCCCCAGGAAGAGCCAGGACCGCGACCCCCCAAGCCCAGGGTGTGTGCGGGGAGGGGGGAGGAAGGTCCCTCGTCCCTCCCCGCCCTCACGTGTCCCCGTCCTCGGTGACGAAGCTCAGGACGTGCCGCAGCCAGGCCGCGGGGTCGGCGGGGGTCTCGGGGGACTCCGCTCCGGGACTGGCCGGCAGCGGCGGCCCCAGCGGCCCCTCGCCCAGCGAGCCCAGCCCGCTGTCGCACCACTCGTCGCCATCAGACCGCTTCGCCTCGCTGGGAGCCGCGGGGGCCGCGGGGGCCGCGGCCGCCATCGCCGGGGCCGCCTCAGGCCGCGGCCGCCATGGCGGAGCGGGGAATCCCCCTCCCGGCGCGTCCCGGGACCCGTAGTCCGCGGCCGCGCTTCCGGGTGTCTCAGCCAATCAGCGGCCTCCGTCTGACCGCGCCCACTTCTCCCGCCAACCGGAGCCGCGGCGGGCGCGCGGGGCACGCCGGGAGCCGCCGTGAGGGCGAGGCCGCGCCCATGGAGGAGCGGGGCAGGACCGGGGCCGGCGGGGCCGGGACGAGCCCGGAGGTTGGGGCTGCCTCTCCTCCCGCCCCCGCCGGTGATCCCCCCGCTGTCCCCGCAGCTCCCGGTGCCCGCGAGGAGGAGGCGGAGCAGGACGCCGAGTCTCCGGTAACGCCCCCGGTATCCCCTCGGTCCCCGCCCCCGTGACCGCCCCCGGCAGCCCGGTGACCCCTTGCTCTCCTCCCCGCAGGTGTCGGAGCCCGAGGCGGGCGCTTCGGCGGACGCTGACAGTGGGTCTGGGGGCACCGGGGGCCGCGGGGACACCGGAGACGCTTTGGGGACATTTCGGGGCCTTTGGGGACATTAACAGGGCCTTTGGGGACATTAACAGGGCCTTTGGGACATTTCGGGGCCTTTGGGGACATTTCGGGGCCTTTGGGACATTTCGGGGGAAATATTTGGGAACTTTTATCGGGCCCTTGGGGCTCTGTGGGACATTTGGGGGTATTTCTGGGACGGGGATGTTGGAATAGGACTTCTGAGTCTCTCGGGGGTCCTTTGGGTTTGTTTAATTTTTATTTTAATTTTTTTCTTTTAATTTAAGGAATTTTTGGGGACATTTCTGGGACCTTTTGGGATATTTATTTTTGGGGGTTTTGGGGTGTCTTTGGTGCTGTTTGGGGCCAGCTCGGTGTCCCCGCAGTGGAGCTGCTGAGGACGCTCCTGTCCCGGAGCCTGGGGCTCGGCGGGGACAAACCGGAGCCGGTGCTGGACGAGCTGAGCCTGCAGGGCGTGAGCCGCTTCCTCAAGAGTGACCGCTGTACGGACACCGGCAACCGGAACGGGGACACCGGCAACGGGGACACCGGCAACCGGAACCGGAACGGGAACCGGGGGAGGGACACCGGGAACGGGAACGGGGGACAACGGGAACGGGAACGGGGGACAACGGGAACGAGAACGGGGGAACAACGGGAACGGGGGGAGGGGACACCGGGAACGGGAACCGGAACGGGGGGACAACGGGAACGGGGGACAACGGGAACGAGAACGGGGGAACAACGGGAACGGGGGAGGACACCGGGAACGGGAACAGGGGGAGGGGACACCGGGAACGGGAACGGGGGAGGGACACCGGGAACAGGAACGGGAACGGGGGAGGGACACCGGGAACGGGAACGGGGGACAACGGGAACGGGAACGGGGGGAGGGGACACCGGGAACGGGAACCGGAACGGAGGGACAACGGGAACGGGGAAAATCGGGAATGGGGAGGGACACCGGGAACGGGAATGGGAATGGGGAGGGGGAAAATCGGGAATGGGGAGGGGGGACCACCAAGAACGGGGAGGAGGAAAATCGGGCATGGGGGGGAAGGGGACACCGGGACTGGGAACGGGAATGGGGGGCACCAGGAACGGGGAGGGGGACACAGGGAAAGGGAATAGGAACGGGAACGGACACCGAGAACGGGGAGGGGGAAGCAGGAAAATCGGGAATTGGGGGGGACACACCAGGAACGGGAACGGGCACCAAGAACAGGGAGGGGGAAAATCGGGGATGGGGAGGGGGGACACCGGGAACGGGAACGGGCACCAAGAACAGGGAAGGGGAAATGGGAAAATCGGGCATGGGGAGGGGGGACACCGGGAATGGGCACCAAGAACAGGGAAGGGGAAATGGGAAAATCGGGGATGGGGGGGGTGCAGTGGGAATGGGGTGGATTTGGGGGTTCACAGTGCAGGGGGGGGAAGGGGCGGTTTTGGGGTTCTTGGGGGCAGATTTGGGGTTCACCCTTATGTCCCTCCCCCAGGTAAGAACATCGTGTGCATGGTGGGCGCCGGCATCTCCACCTGTGAGTGCTCGTTGTGGGGGGCACTGGGGGGGCTCGGGGACACCCGGGGTGGGTCCTGAGCCCCACAACCCCCCCAGCCGCCGGGATCCCGGATTTCCGCTCCCCCGGCACCGGGCTCTACTCCAACCTGCAGAGTTACAACCTCCCCTACCCCGAGGCCATCTTTGAGATCGGTTTCTTCAAGGTACACCCCCCTTTCCCCCCCAAATTCTGGGAGGGGGCTGGGTTTCTGGGGGCTCTCCAAGCCCCCTCTGACCTCCCTGTGCTCCCCAGAAACACCCAGAGCCCTTTTTCGCCCTTGCCCGTGAGCTCTACCCAGGACAGTTCAAGGTAATATCCTCCCAAACCTCCTTCCAACCTCCCCCTCACGTGGGGGCCCAAG